CCAGCCAGTTCTTCTCAAAAATGCCTTCAGGGTGTGTCCACTAGGAGAAAAGATGTGTTCTTACCATGTGTTAAAATCCTAGTGAAAGCAAGGCAGTTTGTAGTTTTCAAATGTAGTCACAGGTTGAGCTAAATGCTAGCGGGAAGCTGAGAGTTTGCCTCAAGCTGCTAACATGTGATAAAACTACAGCTGGCTTGTCTTCACTAGGGTTTTACCTCCTTAGATATGTGTTAGTTTAACACATGGTAAGAGCACACCTTTTTTTCTCTAGTGAAGGCAAGGCTGCAGGGTTGTGTGTTTGGAGGAGGGAGAGAGACTGCATACAAAGAGGACAGTGTATGGTGAGAAGAAAGGTAGTAGCCCACCCCTTTTTCCCCCCCCCCACCCCAAGAAATACAAATCTAGTTGGAGCTAATCTCATTGATCTGATTATTTTAGTTGTGGGATGCCTCACAGTCTGATGCCACAGACTTGGACCGGCATCAATGTAATTGGCTTTCTCCACCAGAATGGTTTTGGTTTTACTGGATAAGAAGGGATGAGAAAACTCTAGATATTTTGAAGGAAGGGGAGGTGACAAAACCTTAGGGAAAATTCTTTTCCTGTCATTCGAATGAAAGGGAAATCATCGTTTTCACCACGCATGTCTTGAAGGGATTATTAATGATGAGTTGGGTCTGCCTATCTACTTACATGGCCCCATCACCTCAGTACTGAAGATCCTCCCAATCATTAATGAATATATTCTCAGAGGAACCCTGTGGAGTAGGGGAAGTACTATCTCCATTTTACACATGGGGAAATGAGGCACAGGAAGTGTGTGGTACAGTTGGGGACTCAATCCAGATTCTACCAATCCTGTTCCAGTGCCTTAACTACAAAATTAATCTTCCTCCTTTGGCTATCTGGCTGTGACGCTGTCCATACTAGTACGAGGGGCTAGAGCTAGGAGCGTGGAAGAAAATGAAGCAAAAGAAACGTAGGCTGAATGTGGGGGGAACAGGAGAAAGGGGTACATGTATCAAGTTATGTGAGGAAGGACTTTCCCAAGGAAACTGGTTGATGCCTCCATGAGCTGAGGTTTTAAATTATATTGGATGAAGCATTAGACAGCCTGCTGTAGGGAAGAATCTTGCGGAGAACCTAAACGGATAGGCTAGAGGTGACCTAATAGCTTTCTTTTAGTTCTGATTTCTAAGAGAGTGCATCTAACACTGTGACCTTGAAACATCAGCCTGCTTTGTATGGTGCAGTACTATAGTGATATGCTAAATAATGAGTCAGAATTACAGTTCTAGCACTGAATGTTCTTGCTTTTTGGTCCCTTAATGTAACAATTTTAGATATGAAATTGAACATACATCTCTATTATACAGAAATATTGTGAGCAGTCTGTATAGCTACTGAGGACAGCCTCTAAATCTTGTCTGTTATATTAGTGATTTGCAGTGGGGAGAAGCAAGGGAATTTCCCCTCTCTCAATTATCTATTCCATGGGTCTAGAGACTTCGATAACTTGCCAACCAGGGACTGTATTTTTTTCCTCCTCTATATATTTTCTGTTGTTTGAATTATGTATACTGTGAACTGCTATTTATCTTGGCATTGTTTGTAGTGTCGTTGTAGCTGTGTTGGTCCCAGGGTATTTGAGAGACAAGGTGGATAAGGGAAAAGATATTACCTCACCCACCTCATCGATCTTGGTACACAGCTTCAGGAATGTTGTGTGGTTCTCCTGCCCTCTTCTATGAATATCCCAAAACACTGTCTTACTATACAGCGTTGATTTTATTGAACTCCAGTTAACAGAAGCACTAAAACGTTGCAAGGGTAGTACTGTGTGTTCTTAATGACACTGCTAGCCAGTCAACTTTTAAAGGGAACCATCTGTATTTTAAAGCTGGCTGGGCTGCAAAGCTGCTTGTCTTGCCAGGGCTTTGGGAACCTGGATCACCGTTTCTCCTGAGCCATTAGCATTCTCTGAAATTATAATTTATTTGTCTTGCACTAGCCCTAATTGTGATCAGAGCCCAACTGTGCTAGGCACTGTGTAAACGCATAATAAAAGATGATCCTGTCTTGAAAAGCTTATTAAATTGACAATACAGCTAAAGACTGGGAGGGGGGAAATGAAGGCACATAGAGATGAAGTGACTTGCTCAAGGCTACATTTAGGTCAGTGGCCAAACCACATCTCTTGTGTCGCAGTCCAGTGTCCTAGCCACTGGAAAATGCTACCTCCCTAAAACTAAAATGGAGGTTCCAGGTAGCTGGCCCTGAAATATGCAACTATATTTGGAGGGTGCACAGTACAGTACAGACTTAAAAGCCCAACTGGGCTGGCTTCTGTAGTTTTCCAAAGCCTTCACTTTACAGGTGGACTCTGAGACCTCAGACTAATCAAGGATGCACTTAATATTATTAACAACTCTGAAGATCTAGCAGGTTACAGTGTCTATACCAGCAAGTCTCATAATTATCTTTGGAAGTGCTCATTCTCGTTATGAAGAGAATTTAAATTCTTTCAGGTATTTGGTTCTGAATTCTGTCTGAAATGGTGACACGGGAATCCAAATGAATAAACATCTATTCGGTAGTCACACATGCTAGACCTTCAGAGTAGGTGAAACTAGACAGTTTTAATTTTTCTCTGATTTTTAGAGCTGCTAAGAGCTTTAAGATTAAGTATTTTTCATAATCGGGTATGGACTTGTTAACTCTATTCTAGTGTGTTCAGATACTCAGCATTTTGTCTGTTGGACAATATGATTAAATGCCACCTTCTGCTTTCTGATTTAAAAAGGGTATTGAAACTTCATAGTAGAGAGTAATGACTCGAATTAAGAGATGCCAATTGATCTTTTGCACGTACATAAAGAACGTACAGGTGATATTCTTGTTATTTTTGTACCAAGGAAGAGCCGGTTTGAAACCTTTGTGGTCTGTGCTTTTTTAAAATCTATTCAACCAGGCTAACACAAACCAATTGTATAGGCTGGTTTTAAGACAGGTGTCCACATCACAAAGAACACTGTCATAAATGACATGTATGGCAGCCTTTCCCAGTCAAGAGATCAAGATTAAAGACAAACTGAACAAACCAGGGTCCTCCCTCCTGGTCTTGCTGATGGGCCAGTGTAGGGAAGTTGCACTGTGGCTACAGAAGATTTCAGACTCCAGAGCTGTTGGATTATGTCTACATGAACGGAGTTAAAATCAACTACATTTCTTTAAAATGTCTAGCACGAATTTTTCAGGCCTTAACCTGCATTCCAGTTCTGAGCACCTAATTGTAATTCTGAATACTCATGTGCCTATAATTAAGGGTTCAAGATTAAAAGTCACCTTGGGAAAATTTCTTCCTCAAATTTACTTAATAAAATGTATTAAATTGCTTTCTTATTTTTTATGTAACTTGATTAAAGATGTGGTTTGGTACCTCTCCCATGTTGAAACTTATCAAATCTCTTTATAATCACTGGCCAAACTTAAAAGGAGTAGCGCAGGTATGGTATGTTACAGGTGCTATGTCCCTCTCTAGTAGCTAGTCTACAGAGAATAAGAACCCAGTATTGCTATTAGCTAACAGTACTCCAGAAGCTGAAGTGGCAGTGGCCTTTGCTTTTTTTCACAGATTCACTCCTCACTGGTGACTATTAAACTTTTAATCTTGTTTTAAACACCTTGGGCAAGGACTCTCTTATACTTTTGTTTGTGAGGGTTACTCTGTGTGTGTTTTTTGAATAATGCATAGTGAATACATGATGGGGCACTATGATGTAAAGGCTTTGTTGGGATGGCTACTTTACCCATGAGTGGAGCTGGTTGAAGTAATGAGAAATTTCAAAATTCAGAAGTTGATTAAATTGTTATAAATTTCACTTCCCCCATGTTATTCTGCTTCCTATAGAGCTAATAGAAATCTTGTGAGTTTTGATGAAATGTTGAATATTTGGGTGTGGGCAGGGAAGATTAAAAACAAAACAAAAATCCTAAACTTTTCCCCACCAACTTTCCCAGTGAGTTTTGCAGGTCATCTAAAACAAACGTCTATAAAATCATAATACCACATTTTCATATACACTATATATATGTATCACATATTATACAAAAAATTGAGGAATATATATATATATATACGCACGCACGCTATTTCTTGTATCCCTTTGTTGGTAAAATCAAAAGTCCAACCGTACAAATCTTGGATGGAGAAGAAAATAATAAATGTAAGTCCCCTCTTAAAAAAAACTCTAACATTGTTTTTCTAGACTTGAAATGTGATTTCTTAGGGTCTTCCAGGATTAGAAGCAACTGGGGTGCATTTTCTTGGGAAGCTGGAAATTTCTCCTGTTCAGTGTAAGAAATCTCCTGTTTCTAGCTCTGCAGAATTGCGAGATATCAGGCCTTAAACCTTTCATGACTGAATATTGCCTACCTTGGCCAGTGTAACTTGTCTGTAGGGGTGGTGGAAGGGGACATGAAGGTGGGATTCTCTATGTGGAAGGTAGAAGGAACACTTGTGTGGTAAATTGATCTTAAACAACAATGGCAGTTTTGAAGCTGCTTAGTGCTACAGGGTTTGAAATGTAAGAATAAATCAAAGTGCAGATGGATTAGTATTAGTTGGCAGAGAATAGGCGAGACAGTCAAAGGTGTATGATAAATGCATGTTATCACATGGCTCTGAAATGTATCACATGTATGTTATCTGCATACATGTGGTGTGTGAGACACACCACAGATAGACACACTCAATTTTCAGATGCAAAATGTGTGAAACTGTTGACTTAATAATTTAGGGATGTTTTCTTAAGCTTGTTCTTTATATAGTATATCATTTGCTTTGGAGTTCATTTTTCCCCCCCCCTTCCTGTCTTTTTGAATGTGTTGTTTTTAGAAGAACTTCACAGATTATCATGATTCTCAACATGTGTGAGAGAACTAGGAACAGCTTTTTAAGAGAAACTTAAAAAGAAATCTTTTTTTCCCCCCCACTACAGATGCTCGAGATGCGGAGCAACTGAGCAAGAATAATGTTACACACATTCTGTCAATCCATGACGGTGCTAGGCCTATGCTTGAGGTAAGGAGGAATCCATCATAGCTCTAGTTAACCTGAACATGAAATAATGGCCTGTCAACCTTCACTTAATTTGATCCTTATTACAATTGTTTGACACAATTTACCGTATTTTCTCTCAGTCATAGTTTTGTGAGTCAGTCACAGTTTTCATCACTGGTATTGTTAACAGGCAATCCAGCTGTCAAAGGAGGATTCAGTTACAGTGTTTTATTGACTGACATTCTGTTTTATCAGAGAGACAAGGTGGGGGAGGTAATATCTTTTATTGGACCAACTTCTGTTGGTGAGAGTACATGTTCTTAGCCCAGTAGCAGAGGTAACTAAACATTCTGTGTTGATTTCTAGGATGTTTAAAACCCATTTAAAAATGTCCCTTTACCATAACATGCCCCTTGCTAACACTGCACAGCAAATTATTTGTGCAAGAGGCTTCAAATCCTTTTCTGTCTAAAATGTAATTATCCAGGCTTGACAAAAAATGCCATTGCCTATTTGCCTGGAGGGAATACACCTGTGCTGCTACACCCCAAAAAACCACTCATTCAATTTACATGGGCAGATATTTGCCCCCTCTGCAAATTAATCCTTTCCTTCCCCCATTTTACTTTCATCTACATATTGTGAACGTTTGCATCATAGAAGATGACTGCTGGTGTTGCTGCCGCTACTGTTCTCCTTCTGAGCCCATACGGCTCTCTCTAGTTCTGTTCCCCTCCAGTAAAAAAGAGTAATGGATTCAGCCACTCACTCCTGCAAAATTTCCATTTGACCTGGCAAGCCAGTGAATAGTTTGTTTTTAAAGCTTGGATAACATATATAGTCATACCTGGGGAAAGTAGGGTTGCCAATTTTGGTTGGATGTATTCCTGGAGGTTTCAACACATGACATAATCTTTTAATTAAAAAATAAACTTTAATTCCTGGAGACTCCAGGACAATCCTGGAGGGCTGGCAGCCCTAGGGGAAAGGACAGTTAAAGGTGAACTGGAATTTGAAGATTGTCTTTGGGATCCGTACTGTGGATCAGCAAAGCTAAAACTGTTCTCTTTGTTGAGTGTGTGTGTGTTTGACTTATTAAGGTGTGCCTACTGCATGGTCTAAAAGCATATTGAATTTCAAGACTGCTGCTAACTGGACTGATATACAGTGGCACTCACTAAGGAAGATGTAATCACACTTTTATGTCTGTGCTGCATGTGTTTCCTCCGGGGTGGTGTCCTCTAAAATAAACAGAAGCTTGCTTGTGTCTAGTGTCATGAATTTCTAGTCAAGGTAGGGGAACTACTCACTGCAGAATCCAGGTGCAGTCACAGTAGTCTCAGTTTACAACCTCCTCTCATGTGGAAAACAAATGTTACAATTTGTCCGCAGTTCTTTAAGTAGAAGGAAGATTGCAAGTTCCTTTTGTTTTTCAGTGAAATTATTATTAATTACATTCTAATTCATGGTCTTAATTCAGTAGTCACTTGCAACTAAGTACTTACTGATGAACGAAGGTTTAGAAAATCTTGTTACAGTACTTCATTAGTTCCATTTAGGTATGATTACTTGTCAGGTTGTAATTAAGATACGCTGAAAACAATGTTTAGAGTTTAGGCCTTATGTAAATTATATTTTGCTTTTAAAAGATTAGTAGCTTTATTCCATTCTTAGAGACTCGGGGCTTTTTCTCTTGCCCACTGAAGTCAACAGCAAAGCTCCTATTGACTTCATTGGTGCAGCATTAGGTACCCAGTTCTGTAGCTGCTCAGTCAGTGGAAATTCCGCTGAAATCATTTTGAGATTAATGCATGGAATGACTGTAAAATCAGACCCATAGTAAACTTTCCTGTTACATAGATACAGTAGTCACCCCTAAAAATCAAGATGGTAGTTTAATTGCCCATTTACCAAAGTTGATTTTTTTTTTTTTAATTTCCTATCCTAAGTTTAAGAAATATTGTAACTATTTCACTAAACTTAAATAAAAAACTGTGGGAAGAACTTTTTGTTTTGTTTTTAAAGTGGTAAACATAGTACATTAAAGTGATGGCTGTATTGAGTTAGTTGATGATCAGTAGTATGAAATAACACATTATGTGATAATGAATTTGAAGTTCTTTTTATTGACCAGAGAAATTGTGTTCATCATTCTAGTGAATCATGCTTAAAGGGTCACTGTCACATAGGTTAGCTCTCAAAAATTCTTACAAAACCTACTGTTACCAGGTGTTACTTTTTTTTTTTTATTTCAATAATATTTTTGTGTTTTGATGTAATAATAATTATTCTGTAGCATTTGAATGTGCAACATGGTAGCAACTTGCTAGTGCATGAGAACCAGAAAATGGAATTGACCAGTCTAATTTCATTGTCCTTGTTGAGTGACGAATAAAAAGCAAACCGCCATCATAAATAGTCAATAGTATATTTGGTGTATATTCTAAAATCTAATTTTAATAATCTGTTAATGCCAATGAGGACATTTTAAAAATTATTTTTGACCTGAGAATGATTGTGTATTTGAACAAATACCTTCTTAACTTACATTTTCCTGCTCTGTTCCTTGTGTTTTCTGCACTATTAGGAAATATGGAACTTCTGTTGCCCCATAGCTTGCCACATCAATGAAAATGATTGCCCGTTTGGGGTTCATATAAAAATGCTTTAAGTTTTTTCAGGAGAAATAATTGAGAAACCAATAACTTTTCAGTGGGATTTGCTTTCAGAAGCCCTTTCTGGTAAAGTTCAACTCTATAAATCCTCTTAGGAGTTTGCTATTTATAGTTGGCTAATTAACAAAGATTCGGCTCAGGAAGCTATTGCTTGCTTTCAAAATGGAATATCTGCAGACAAAATGTTTTTAAAGTAAATAAAGTCTTGTATTCTGCTTGTGGTACAACAAAGGCTGAAAACAGCTTTTTAAAGGATTGTTTTTACTTTTTGTAGGGAAGGGTATGGCTGCCATATTATAGGTATTAAACTTGACATGGCTTAAATTGGAAAAAAGAGAACATGAATTGAGCAATACGCCACTATTGCCTGCTTAGTTCTTTTGCTCTGTATGTAACACTATTTTAATGTAAACTAGTGCTATCTTTTTAAAAATAGAGCCTGTAATTAATTTGTTTATGAAGCCCCAATATTGAAGCGGTCCAAATGCTGAACACCATCACCATACAGATATCCTAACAACACATACAGACATTTGTAATTTAAAAAGACATGCCTAAAAGTTTGTCAGGAGAAAACCGATGGAAGTGATTGTGGTGGGTCCAACACAAAAGGGACTACAAAAGATGATCAAGAAAGTGAACTACTTCAAATGAGTGCCTTCAATAAACAGTGACGCACAGGCCACCATCCTCTATCTACCAGCATCATTTCTGTTTTTGCCTGGGCAAGGAGTAGGTATCTCTGACGTGTTAGCTCGTCAGTGTAAGACGAGCATTCCTCCAGCACAGAGGCTGAACTTGCATGGCCACAGATGATTGTTCATAGATCTGAATGTCACATAAAATCCTAGCATAGAAGAAGCTCGGATTTTAGGCCATCACCTCACCAATTTGCTGCTCGGATGCTTCAAATTCCAGATATTAACCCCAGTGCTCTCTGGGCATGAGAAACAACAAGGAATCAGTGAGCTGGGAGCCTCCTCTAAAAGATAATATCCGTCAGTGATCTGCTGGATTCCATGGTGTGAAGGGGATGTCAGCTATCCCTTAGCATCAGTGCCTCTGATGCAACGAGGAGTAGGCTTTGGGGGTGACACAGGTTTGGGATAGACCAAGCATCAACATGCACAGGTTGATGGGCAGACCTGACCCAGGGGTGTGATCAATATATCTGATCTTCAGACAAAACCCAGAGGTGAGAACAAGCATGTAACCAGCCCTGATGTTTGTGGTGGGACAGCCAGAAAGTCCATGGCTTCCAGGAATATCCACGCCATTAGAGTTGTTGTCCACATGCACTCTGAAACCTCTGAAGACAAGAATCTACAAGGATTCTCAGCAATGCCAACACATGCTCCTTAAAGCTAATTTTTACAGCTTTCATTTCTCTTGCTGTGGGCTGAAGGGGGATAAAAAGTTATCACAAAGGACCAAACACACAGCCCGTTGAAGTCTCTCTATTGACTTCTATGGGCTTTGAATCTGTCCCAAGGCAGGTACAACACTGGCAGCAGTAATATGAGCTTTCCCCACACTGTTTCATGGTGGAAGTTTGTATTTTATTGTATTCTTGTGTTGCATTCATTCATTCATTTAGGTGCTCATAGCCTGCAATGAGGAGCACAATATAAATACTGAGAGAGTGCATTTGAGTGCTTTTTATTTTAGCAAATGTCAACCAACTCTGCTTTGGAGCAGGGGTTAGGTAGTTACTATTAGCCTGTCCTCAAGCATTAGCTTAGCTTAACAAAAAGAAGGTTAAAGAGTGATTTGATCGCTGTCTATAAGGACTTGCCTGAGGAACAGAAATTTGATAATAGAGGGCTCTTCAGTCTATCCGACAAGGTATATAACAAGATCCAATGTGTGGAAGTTGAAGCTAGACAAATTCAAACTAGAAATAAGATGCACATTTTTCACAGACAGGGTAATTGACTATTGGAACAACTTATCAAGGTTTGTGGTGGATTGTCCATTACTGGCAATTTTAAAATCAAGACTGGATTTTCTCTAGAAGATGTGTGTGCAAGAGAGGTAGCCATATGTCCATCAGGAACTGGATTGAAACTATCAACTCTTTTTATAGAATCCAACAAATGTTTGTCAGTTACTAGTACATTTTTATTGCCGTTAAGCTAGACCAGAGTTGAAACAGTAAGTGTATGAATTCTGTTCCCGGTCTCCCGAGGCTATCCGGTCTCCTGACATTAATTTACAATATTCTGTCATTTGCAGAGTGGCCTCTGTTGCATCACAGCAAGTTCTGTACTCTGTTGGATAGCAGATTTGTATGGGGGATTTGATAGCAGCCTTCAACTACCTGAAGGGGGGTTCCAAAGAGGATGG